AGTATGTGCTTTGGGTTACTCTTAGCTGGTCGCACAGTGTAGAGAGATTGGTTAGGGCCACATTACAGCTGGGCTGTATATATGGAAAAGAATCTTTTGGCCCTGATATGGATAGCAAGGTAAGGTGGGGGGGGGGGGGGGGGGTGTCATAAAAGGAGCATAGCAAGGTAAGGTGGGGGGGGGCTAGTGTGTCATAAAAGTAGCCTTTACAGAATAGCTTGGGAGAACTCCTGAACTCAATGTTTTCCAAGTGCTGGTGTTTCTCTTCAGCATTATTACAGTCATCCCTAAAGGACAAACTACTAAACACTTCAGTTAATTACAATCATTGCATGATCCACTTTAGAAACACCTTCTGGTTTCTCATAACCTTGCTTGATATTTGCAGAAATCCTATTAGACATGTTCTGCCTTACTCCCATGAACTTTAGAGTCAAAAGGGAAAACTGAAACGCTACTGAATCAGAGGATGAAGATACATTGCAAAGTGAGCGCAGCTAGGTATGCCTCCAAAGGGAAATGTTAAATAAAAATCCACCTTGATGTGCTCTTGAATTGCAAAAGCCTTCTAATGCAGCCTGTGCCCATGATTTATAACAATGACTCATAATATTGCATTATACTTAACATGATGTAACGCTGATGCAAGATGCCATTTGTGGAATTTCAATGTCACAGAAAAAAAGAGAGGAGAGAGCAATCTGGTCATGTACCTTGCCTTGCTGTCAAGATGAAAAGTTTACAGCCAAAATGTATAGAACTTTTCAATACCTACTTTTCTACTGTAGCAGGTTGACTGGGAGAATAACAGTTTTATTTCCTGGAGCATAAATATCTCTCAGACTGTGTTACTTACAGTAATTTAATCAACTTTGTACTTAAGAAGACAAATTTGCTAACAGAAGATTCAGTCTTGCAATTATAACCCCTCACATGGAAGTTCTCAGGGCAAATCAGGATCGTGCCTTTAAATTAATCCAGGCTTTATCTCTGTTTTCTAACCCAACTGATATGAATTATTCCCCTGTTCTCTCTGTACTGCTTGCTTCTTGCTGCAGTGAATCAGCATTTCAGGAAATACTAATTCAAAGAGGAAAGACACCCTAAACTCAGTTTTTGGAGGTCAGAAACAGCTGCTCTCTAAACGGCTTGACAAACGATGTGAGTCTTCCCAGGTTGCTTGGGGCCAGTTTCACAGAGTGCATGCAACCCCATTTTTGAACTCTTCCCCTTCCCCTCCAAGTAGCCTGAGAACTTCAAAGTCATGCATTTGTGCTGCAAAAATGAGTCCTAGCAATCTGGGGAGAACTGCTAGCCCAAGTCAGAGCAAGAGTTTGAGCCTCAACTTTTAACAATAAGGAAAACTGTTACTCGCTCTGCCCCAGCAGCTGAGGCATCCTGGGTGCTATTCTGCAGGAGCCAGTGTGCCAGCATGTCATCCCGGGCGGCATTATTTGCAGCATGGGAGCAGCTGGAAATGCAGACCTCTCATGCAAACTGAACTGAGAAGGGAGTGCTTCGCATTGCACACTGGGTGCGCACACCGACATTACACTAGCAGGGCTGTTCAAGAAAAGGAAATAGCAGCATTGATCTGCTCCACCTATAACTTCTAAAATCCTCCATCTTCGACATGGCCAATTTTCATCTTACTTCTATACAAGAGCTAACAGGTGCTCATACTATTGCTCTAACAAAGTTGCATATTCAGTAGGTTCAGCAGACAGTGGTTGACACCAGAGGCAGCAGAGAAACATCTGCCTAGGTAAGATGAGACTATAAGGAGGTGGAAGAAGATCTTGAACCGAGGCCTCCAAAATGTCTGGATTAGACTTTTTTTTTTTCCTGGTGGCTCTGTGTTGGTATATACCATGCAGTTTTACCTATGTTCAGCTTCCTTGTGTAAGTCCAGCGGGCTTGCCTACTTCAGCGCGAAGTATGCCAGCTCTTGCTCTCTGAGATGGAACAGATGAATTTACCAGTGAAAGGATTCATAGGAAGACAACTAGATAACACTATATGTCTGATTTGCCATCCTGAATTTGCTGCAGTTGCTTTCATGCTAGAAAAGGACCTTTCATAGGTCAGCCCTGAGAGGCCAGGACAGTGGGGCACAGCACGCAGTTCAGTTTTGCCTCTCAAGAACCAAAGAAATAGTGGGGGCTGGCTTTTGAAAGGTGTAATGATGCCTACAGGTGAAGATAACAAATCAATAAGAATTGAGTATCTAGTTTATTTTTGAAAGCTCCACTAGGTGCCAGTCTGTCTCCTAGGTACATATCATCATACATATCATCAAAAACCTAGCCATGGGCAAGTAAAACTAGACAAGAATTTGTAGCCCAGAGGAAAGCCACTGAGAATGGATTGTGTGGAGGCTGATAAGATTCATATTGCTCCAAAAGGGGGGAGTAGCACCTAAAACAAGACTCTCTTTGTTGTGAAAGCCCTAGGTTTGAGAGACCTAGCTTGCCAAATACCCATATAGGCCTCCATCTGCCAATTGTCTTAAATACTGTGATCTTTCACATAAGAGCAAAGACTGAAAAGAATCTCCCTAGCAAAAACATCATTTATTTTTCTTCTACAGATTGGTGGAGTAACGTGCCTTTTCTCAATCATGTTACTCTTTCTTTTCCCTGAAGATTTCGAACAGAGATTTGTTCGAACAAAGATCAGTAATTTTGCTCTGTAAGGGATGCAGGAAGAAGCGTAGAAATATCTCTAGATCAGAATAGTTCCTGAGCCTGCTGGAGAAATGGCAGATCGCCAGAGATAGCGCACACCACCCTTCTGCCAGATAACAATGCATAGAGCTGAATCTTCCAGGCATAATTTTTTAGGACAGCAAATTGTGCACGTATAGGTGAGAAACACAAGGAGCTCATGTCCTCAGGGGAGGCTGCTGCATGTTTTGCCTTCCCACAGGCCAGTTCCAGGACTAATGTGCCTCCTTCTCCACCCTAGCTCCATACCTGGTTGATAATGGAGCCAAAAAATACACTGACGTGCTAAGAGGAACTTCTTTTTTTGTCTACATCTTTGAGCTTTGCATTTGAAATAATTTACTAATAGAGTAGCCAGTTCTGTCTATATTTGCAGTCCTCTACAGGCCAGTTTGTCATTTTGGGGGAAATCTTTCAGTGCTATCACGTACCTCATAAACAGGCCTTTCAGGCAATTATCTTTTCTACAAAGGTAAACTCCTCCGCTATTGTTGATGTCAGCGTATTTGAGCTTGTGTAGCAGAGGACACTGTGGACCCTGATGTTCTGCCATGCTTTTTAATAAGTAGTGCCTTTGTGCTACCAGAAGGCGAATAGTAAAGATTAGTATCTTTACTAAGATAACTCGGATTATTTGATTGACAAATTAATGGTTAGTCCTTGAGCTATGCTCAGAATTCAGTGTTAATTTTGCTAGTATTTTGAAGTACCATGTTTGCATTGGAGGACCAGACCCAGAAAATTGGGATTCTAGGAAGACAGAAAAAAAACTGCTTCAGTAGCACTAAATAAGAAAAAGGTTAGGCTTTTGTTTGGGTTTGAAATCGCTTTTTTTTCAATACCATATGCTTATCTCTAGCATATGGTGCCTAAGCGGAGATGTCTTGGGGCCTAAAGATAATTGTCCCAACAAAAATAGTATCCACAAATTAATTGCTGTTCCTAACTTCCTTCTCCCATTTGTTTCCAAGTCAGAGTAAGATAGTGCCAAAGTCTGTACTAATGCCACAGGAGTGCAAATAATCGGGAAGGTAAAACAGAGAGCTAAGAAAGCAAGAGGATCTACATTAATTCTGTAAGATCTCATCAGCAAGATAGTAATTGCTACATTCAGCTACAGAAAGCAATGCTGCTCTGCAGTAATGCGTTAACACCTATACAGTGTGACCTATACAGCTGTGACACAACCCAGAAAAGGCTTGGGAACAGCACAGATATTACTAAGGGCATAATACAGAACAGATAATTCTGGCAGGTGAGGTACTTGCAAGCGCAGATAACTTATGCCTGCCTTAGCCCTTTAAAGATCCAGGAGTTTAAAAATGGTAGAAAAAGCTTTTTGTTACTAGGCTCAGGAAACAGGCCTGCAACAACTGAGTAAGAACATGCCGTTTTCCCAGGGACTCCTTTCAAATAGGACTGTACCTGCACACAGTTGTAGGGGGGTACAAAGACATCCCTGGGCTATTCCTAGCTGGGCTGGGGGAGAGCCCTCCGCCGCCGAGCCTGCTCTGCCGCACACGGGGAGCAGCCCGGCTGGCGAGCATCTGAAGAGCACAGATCAGGTTGGGTCTTGCACCCGTATCTGCTGCCACTGCGGATCAGAAAGCTGGTTAACTACAGCGAACGGCAATGGCAGCAAATCCAGGGCAGCCGGGATTCCCGCAATCCCCAAGAAAGCTACATGGTTGAAGCTGCTGAATTCTTGTCTTCCCAAGTGCTGATTCTGCAATAATTGCTTTCAGCTACCCAGTCCTGAAGAATGGAAACGGGGGGGGGCGCAAGAAGGTCTCTGTGCAAAACGATAAACCAAATATATGTAAGGGCGTTACAGTGAGTCAGTCTGCGGTCTTTTTGCGAAAGTATTTTCCTCCTTTTAGATACAGTCCTCACACAAAGAACAAGGTTTAAACAGTTGGGTTGAAAATGATCCTTTTTCAAATGAGTGAGAAAGTCATGTCTGAACCTGACGAGAATCCCATTTACCCACACAGTAGCAGGCAAGCTTTTTATCATAAGTACCATTTGACTTTCCAGGTAAAATGTTTGTTTGCTTTTTCTTTTTACAACTGTAAAGAGTAACATTTCGACAAATATTTGATGGACAGATAGTCCCAACAAGCTTGTATAACTTGCAAAGGTGCCTACTTGTCTACCGTACGATGACGTTAGTGTTGGAGCACCCTGCAGTTCCCATGCACGGAGCACGGTCTAGCCGGACCTCTCACCCGAGGCAGGTGATGGCCGCGTCTCGAGGAGAGCAGAGCTACTCACCTTCCGCCCGGCCTCGTTGTTGTGCAGGTTCATGAGGGTCCTCGCGTTCTGCTTAATCTCCCTGGCATCCACAAACACTTTGGCGAAGCCTATTCCATATCTGATATCAGCGGAGCAGCCTCCCCATTTCCATCCTTCCTCTTTGTGGTACTGTCCTTGTTTCTCTTTGTCACAACCACAGTCACTCAGGTTTCCCTGCGTGCAGGCGGCCGTGATTGCGTGTGCCACTCCAGCGGCAATGATGGCGTATGTGAATGCTGCTTCTCTGCTGCCTGAAATTAAAACAGTGCTGTAAATACGTGATACAACATGGTGCTGTTAGTAAGAAAAAGATATGCAAGTTGCTGCAGTGCAAACATCAGAGGACTATTATTAGCAGTGCTGTAAATCTGCAGGCATAAGCAGGTCTCTACTCTTCTAAGTATTGATTTTTGTGGATGTTCAGATACTCTCTAAAGTGATAGCTTTCCATGAGGTTCTCAGGAATAAGGTATTATTTAGGCAACTTCATATATATGTTTCTAGATGGCATTAGAAGTAGTCAAAGTAAACTATTCCTAAGAAAAGGGAGGGTTGGCAAACGTTCTTGTTTTTAAAAAAGAAAATGGATGGAACTGGGGGTGGAACTGGTAAAACACCCTTTTTCAACTATTTTTTAAAATCAGCTCAGAAATAGGATTCTGTTTACAAATTCTGCACTAAAAGGTATTTTTAGAGGAAAACAACTTCAGTTAGAAATCTTGTTTGAAAAATATTTTAGCTGAATATTTTAGCTGTACTCTTTCAGATTGTAGGCTTCACCAAGTTCTCAACGCCGCTGCTTGTCCAGACTAAAGGCAATAACTTTCATTTTTAATCTCAAAGTTTCTCACAGGATGGAAAAAAGTTTTCTGACCTGTAGTAAGTATCATCACAAAAGCAAGATAAAGGAACAGCGTCACCAGATGTCTATGAGGAAGTGGTAAAGCCAGTGTTATTCTAGGCGGTATGTCATCTAGTCAGATAGTCATCATGTCAGATAGTCATCTATGACAGGCTTCTGTTTGGGGGAGTCACTTTAAATCAACGATTTAGTTTATCTTCTTGAAACTTTCCTAGATTCTAGTGTGTGAAATTCCAAAGTGTGAATCCTAGGTGATCTGTGATGCTTTTGGACCCAGTTCTGCTGAAAGAGGGCCTCTTCAAAACACAAGAAGTTTTGCAGAGGTTGTCCAGGTATATCAAAGAGCCCTTTAAATATTCTTGTTTTCTTCTTTTTATCAAATTAGATTTGGTTTTGGAAATAGTTCAGTTTGCATAGAAAAAATGTAAAATGTTAGAATAAATATATATATACATATAGGAATAAACCTGTTTCAGATCCTGCACTCTTCACTCATAAAATAGTTGCATTTCACTGAATAAGAACTTCATGTTCTGAACGAAGTACCTGCCCCTACTCTTATTTCTCCAGTGACAAAATGTACCTTTGCATCAATAGGATCAGAATCAGGCTCTTAATTAGGAGAGGGCAGATGGGAAGATCTGCTTCCCTTCTTTAAACATCTGCCAGTTCTGGCAGAACTCAACGGCTGGCAATAGTTTATTCTTCATGAAGCAAGCACATTTCTGCTGTTTATTGGATTTCACAAAAAAAAAATCACTTAGGAAGAAAATCTTACAAGCACTTCATTCTCAACTACATCACTTTCACATACATGATCTAGCTTTCTGTGCGTCAGTAAATGGTTCTTTTAATGAAAAATACTCACTTCCTTATGAGCAAGGAAGTAAAATGGAAAACAAGATGACATCATAAAAATCTGTTAATGGGCAACTGCATGCCCTTTTATTGGCATAGGCAATGTCCCACTGCTACTGCTATGCACTGTGTTTGTAAAGGAACTTGTAGTCAAGAATTAGACTTTCTCAAAGGATTTCTTGTTTTCCTTTATTTAGAAAAAAGAAAATTCTTAAAATGTTCAATTGCTGTGACTATAGATTTTGTAGATGAGCCTTTTCAGGACTAGAGCCTTTTTATGAAAATGTAAATATGGGGAAGAAGTCCTCAGTTTGTGGTTCCCAGTCCACTGTCTATGCACATCAGAGTACCTGATGAAGCCTATGGAGAGCCTCCTGCTCTCTGCACCTATGGAGGCAATACGTAATTGTGGACACAGCCACCACGAGGGCCTGGTGTGGAGAGCCAGGGTTCAGACCTGCCTTCGTTAGTAGCCAACTGCTGTGGATCTCCATACTACAAAGCCCAAAAATGTGCCACTGCCGGAGTGAACTGTGAGACCTGCATTTTGCCACAGCCTCCTGCAGTCAGTGCCACCTTCTGAAGGGAGTGAATGTCCTCAGAAGTAAAAGCAGCAAGAGGAAACCGAAGCAGTAAAGCCAAACTCAGTGAGAAAAGGGAGACAGAACCAGCCACTGATTTCAAGTATATGTGGAGCTGTGCTCTCAGCATTGTGGTGTAGCAGCATGGGAGCCCGCAGGCAGCGGGTGCAAAGGGGGTCTCCTTCCAGGGGGAGCCCAGGAGGACCAGCCAGGGCAACCTTTCCAGTCTTTCCTCCAGTTTATCCTCAGGAACATCCTCACTAGTTTAAGTGCAGCACTATGGAAAGTGCACTGATAAACAGGGAGGGTACAGTAAGAAATCCCAGTTTCTCCCCTCAGGTTGCTTCCTTGAAGGGGCAACGCCTTAGGCCAGATTTCTGTTTCATGAGGCAGTGAGAAGGGGGCAGCCTCAAAAAATGTTTTGAGCTGAAGTATGCATCTGATTCTGGTTTTGCTTTAGATGGATGATTTTTAGTCTAACGCAAGTTGTTTTCAGGAACTAGAATAAAAAAAATTCAAAGATCATTTTCATCTGATACTCATAACATCGTAAAGATGAAGCAGCTCTTTTGCCTCTTCAAGGAACAAAATGCAATACAAAGGGTATGAAATCAGTGCAAGCAGAAGCAGAATCCAGTTGCAAGCTTGCTCTTAAAATCTTTTACACGTGTTAAGTTATTTTATAGATTTGTCCTGTTTGGGGAAAGGCAGCTTTTGAAAACTAAAGGTTAGGACATTACAAGGTAAACAAAGCAAATGTCCAGAGGAATTGATCCGGGTAGGAAGTACCATCAGGAGATGGTTATACAGTACTGACAAAGTGGTGCACGCTTGTTACACCCACATCAAACTAACTAGGTTTTGCATAAATGATTCACTTTTTTAAGCTTCATTACCCTTGTTTAGCCCATAGAAACATCAGCACATAAAGGGTGGTATAGGAACACGTTCTGGGAAGGCATAGCTTATTTTGAGCCTGTTCCATGACAGGGCTTTACATACCAAAATTATGTTAAAGGGTTTTTGTAACCAAACCAGCAATGCTCAAATGGGATAACATGCAAACGTGTTTTCCCACCACTTTTAAGTAATGAATATTACGGCTCCACTTCTTATTTCAGCAGACAGTTGAAATGCCTGGAGGATCTCAGCTGGAAACACTGCTTTAACAAGGTGCACGCAAACAGCTGCTCCCTGCAGGCAACACTTTGTTTCCTCTGAGTTTGTGCTGATGCTCTAGAGCCAGCTGACAAGGGAGGTACTGCTCCACATTAACTCTAATCTCAGCATATATGTAGGTTGAAAGGCACAACCCGGACCCCTAAAGACGAGCAGTTTGGGAAATGACCTCCTATGATTTGTGGAAGCTAGAATGGTGGGGGAGTAATTGCACCCTCCTTTGTTTTCTTTCTTGCTTAGTTTTCAGCCTGTGCGTCTTATGTGCATCTGATAGCCAACTTAGTCCTGAACCTTAACTTCCTTCTGAAGACTTAGTAGTATAAAATTCAGGATCTTAGTCTTAAAAAAAGGTCAGGCTTTCATATCAACATGATACTGCTACTGTTTTGTGTTTGTTTTAAGCTATAGGTGATGGCGACTAGCATCACAAAATGCTTCGTACATGGGAACAGCAATTCTGCTTCAGGAGGACAAAGAAAGTCAGCAAAGCGGGAGATAAGGTGCAAATAAGTATTCTTGCCAGGTTGTTGTTGGGAGGGAAAATATAGGATAACTTGCATAACTGAAAGGCTGTGGAAAAGCCTATACTGCAGTGATTTGTCTTCTCTAGAAGGCTGGAAAGATGAGACAGCAGCTGGAAGAGCAAACTAGTATGTTTTTAGCAGTGAGATCATAAAAGACTTTTTGGAGAAAATTTAAATGGATATACTCATAGGCATGAGGTAACAAAACCATCCCTTGAACAATCTTCCAACCCTTTGGCGTAGAAGCACTGGGATGAGGGGATGAGACCCAGGAATTAAATGTTTCTGCAGTTAATTCCCATTGAATCTATCCTCAAACTGCAACTCAGTTTAAATCCGTGCCTTGGAAAAAATAGAAAATTAAATTTTAAAATGCATATAACAAACAGCTGATCTTTGTGGAGGACTGGTGCAAATCATGATCCCAGGTGCTGGGTCAGTTTAAAAGTTCCTTGTGGAGGTTTTTCCAGGCAGTGACGTGCAAGGGTGCATACCAAGCCATTTGTGATGGTTTAACTGACAGAAGGAAGAACGACGGCTGCCTGAGAAGTACAGGAGCTGCAGAGAAAGGTGGAGAGTTGGTTATACCTGTAAAAAAAAAATGGTGTTTTGCATTTCCCTTGGTATTTGATAGTTGGAAGTGCAACTCATGTACAGGTGCCCCTTCCATAGCACAGAAACTGTCTGCTGGACGCACGGTGAACCCTGCCGCAGTTCCCCGGGTTTGTGCAGACAGCTCTGTCCCCTTGCAGCCATAAGCGATATTCTGACTTGCGTTGTCAGAGTAGTGCCAGAAACTGCTCAACAACAAAACCAAAACTGGTGAGATTCTCATAGTCTAAACTGCCAGTGGATGGTCTGGATCTTCCTCTCATCCGTATAGTCAGTCTGGCAAAAGTTGCTGAAAACCTCGAGAAAGCGAGGGGGAAACAAATCCCCAAACCGGTGAGTCCGTGAGAAAGCCGCCCTTCCAGCTGCCAAGGGACGGGGTCTTCTCACTGGGTCTGGAACAAGCAAAGGCTAAATCCGCACCAGATGTGAACTCCCAGCGCTAGAAACGTCGGAAAAGGCTCCGAGTCCCAGCAGGGTCCCTCTGGTCGCTTACGGGGCCGGCGGTCGGAGAGGGCTCTCTCGGCCCGGCAGCGTTCACAGGGGGAATCGCGGCGCCAGGCTGGCGGATGGGCTGGGCTGGCGGCGGCGAGAAGGATGGGGGAGCG